CTGTTACCGCCCACGACTACGAGTTCCTGGGCGTGCGCAGCGGACTGGGCCTCGCCGGCCTGGACCCCGGCGCCGAGCTTGAGCGCCTTGCCCGTGTACGCCGTGGACTTGTAGTCGAGCACGCTAATGTCCTTGAGGTGGTGCGTCCAGAGCGCGAGGGCGCCGGCACCAGTGGACTTTCCGAGGTAGTCGTGGCCCGTGTTGCGGATGACGAGGCGGATGTTGTAGTCCTGCGCGAAGCGGATCGTCTTTGCGTAGTCGTCGGCGCTGGCGGCCTTGACGGCGTACTGGACGTAGGTGCCGATGACGCAGCGGTCCGTCTTGGCGAGGAACGGGTCGCAGCTCTGGTTGGCGAAGAAGGCGGCCATGACGGACGACGAGGTCTGGATGTGCGTCTCGGAGGCGGACCAGCTGTTCTGCAGGGCTGTGCACTTGGCCTCGTCGTAGGCGCCAAAGGTGCTGTCGTGGCAGACGGCGCCGATGGGGATCGTGGCGATGAGGCGGCCGCCGACTGTAGTGTTGAAGGCCGACCACTCGGCCGCCGTCGGCCAGCATTCTTCGCCGGGGAAGCAGCGGCAGTCCGTGGCTCTCTGTGCGATGTCGTGGCCGCCGAAGAAGGGGCCTCCCGGTCGGATGCCGGTGCCCGGTCCTGCCCGGCCGATGGAGAAGGCCGAGACCGCCGCGGGCGCGAGGGTGAGCAAGCTGAGGAGAGACACCATTTTGGAAAAGAGTGAGGGGGTCACAATCACTTGCTGTCACACAAAGTGAGAGGAGAGGGAGGGAGGGAGTGAGGGTGAGAAAGAACGACTGGAGGTTGGAGGTGAGGAGAGAAAGAGACCTCTCTCACGATGCAACACCAGCGCTTCGATGCTACATATTTATCAGGCAGGTCACGAACGACGGAACTAAGAGGCATCAACAACACGAAATGAGACTACCGGTTACAGCCAGGAAGCTGACGATAGTTTGATTACCACCCATGCCAATATTGACTACGATGGCCCACGAATACTAGCCGCCCACGCGAGCAGTTGTGGGAAGGATACTTTTAAGCTATTGAGAAGATAGGGCCCCCGAACGGTGAACCAAGCATGTGCCTGACTCTTCACCCTGCGAGACCTTGAGAAGGGCCGGGAGGGCTATGAGAATCGGTGGAAAGGTTGGACAGAATGGGACAAGATGGGGACGGGTTGCCGCGTGTCCCTCCTTCGAAGCCTCAAGGGGCCAGCCGGGGCCAAGAGGTCGCGAGTTCGATTCGATGGATGGCTCCGAGAGATGAGGGGGAATAGGAATATACCTCAATGTCAACCTTCCGGAAAGGCCAACGCCTACAGGTAAACTCCATTCGCCGTCTCGAGTTGCGGGGACTAATCACGCGTTTGTTGGAACTTGGCGAGACGGTTTCGACGATTGCAAGCACAACTCATGTAAAGCTAATATAGGCAGGTAGTATCGCCGGTATTCTCATCTAGGGGTTGTCCCTGACACGAACGGTTGCTGGCAAGCAAGGATGAGCCGTCGTCATCCATGGCCCGTCTGAGGTTTGGCAGCAAGAAGTTGAGAAAGCCGCACTAAACTGACTAACAGCCGTGCATATCTGGGGGACTCTGCAGGGGAGATTTCCCGTGGAAACGAACGACGTCCTGTCCGTTCCTGCACAGCAAACTACATTCAGCAGACTGCAGACTGAAGAGGTCGGCCGCCCGCAACCATGAGGGCGGTACTGGGACTAATGCCTGTCAAGTGTCAACCGTTCATCCTACGTGTGCGGTTACAACTTACAAGGACCTGTAAAGGTAGGCACTGCGCAGTAATGGCACCGTGGAGGCACCGTGGAGGGTGTACCCCGGGTGCTCCGGGTCGACGGACGCCACCCGAGCCCGGACGGAAACCAATGGTCCGGCCGAAGACAACCTCGTGCAACAACACCCTTCTCGAGTACCTTGTTACCTGGGAAGTTGACGAGGTCGAACCTAACTACTCCGTAATCACTTGAGTCAAAAGACAACTCTCCACGATCATCGACTAGTTGCTCACGACACTAGGAACGAAGGAGGGGAAGGGAGGCAGCCAAGTGATCCTCCCGCTGCGCTGTTTCCCTAGTCGCTTTGGAGTTTCGACGAGTCAATTTCCCACTCTACACGGCGTCTTTAACCACCGTTTACTATGTTCGGATACGTTTAGAGCTACGACGGTTCATCTATCCGTACTAGCCTACTTACAAAACACACGCAAAAGTCAAGTAACGCCCCTGGCGCCGCGCTTGCAATCCTGGCCCCCCGCGGCCCGCTCCCTGCCAGCGCTTGACTCGTGATCCTTGTCCAACTTCAAAAAGAATCACGCACATCAAGGGTTCAAGGATACTAGATAGCAGCATCTCTTTCCAAGTCCATCTGCCGACTCTTAGCCGAAGCGGTGCTCTATGAAGACCCCGTACGCTTGTCACTTATCTTCCGAATGACTCGTACAGCCTCCAAGGATTCTCAAGTTCCAACAACCAACTCCTTCAAACGGAAACTCTGCATACACAATAATGACAATTCGCTCTGTGTTACTCCGTACCTGAATCCGCACTCCGTAAACTGCAGGTGATGTCTCTCTTCCTCCACGCCCCCCTTCATTCCACGTGCTGCGACGCCAACGACACGAAACCGTCACCGACGAGGGGCAGGGAATACAGACAGACCGTCCACAGGCACCACAGCTTCCACGCTCTGGCGTCCGTTTCCGGGGTCCGGGTCCGCAGCACCGCCGCGACGACCATGGCTCCCGACAACGTGGGCAGCAGCACCGCCCACGACGACCGGATGTGCCAGACGTAGACGCACACGCACGACCAGAAGGGGACCAGCACCGCGAGCGACGTCCTCGAGACCCTGTCGCCAAAGAATAGGGGCACCGTCGCGCGGCCCCGTCCGCGGTCGCCCGCCTGGTCTTTGAGGTCCTGCACCTGCATCGTCGTCAGGATGGCCGCGCTGATGATGCCCGCCCACACGTACCCGTCGTGGGTGATGGCGATGGGTACGCGTACGTCGTCTGCTGCCCCTGCTGCTGCTTCTGCTACTGCCCCGCCGCTGATGGCAATCTTGAGGGAGGCCGTGTTGAAGAGAAAATAGGCGACGGCGATGATGGCGTCCCGGACGAGCTCGTCACCCCCGCGGAGGTCATTGTACAGCCACGTTAGGATCAAGATGAAGACGCCCTCCTTCCAGACGTCCAGCACGTAGTTCAGGGCTAGCACGGCGGGTATGGCAACGAGCATGGCCTTTCGAGTTTGCTCAGGCGTCACCTTGCCCGCCGGTATGGGACGCCAAGGCTTGTTCGCGAGGTCCTCGGCCACGGATTCGGGCCCCCTCTGGTTGGCCAGGTCGAAGATGAGCACGCTGTACCAGTTGAAGGCCACCACCAGAGGGAAGCGCTGGACGATGGAGAGCGTGGCTGCGTGGCCCGAGATCAGGGGCGCGCCGGTGAGCCCGCCCAGGAGGCCAAAGGCCGTGTTGGGTACGACGAATGTGGCAAAGTTGCTCTCGGTAAAGTCCCAGATCAGACGAGGTATGCGAAGGACCTCGGTGAAAGTGGAGGAGGAGCAGGAGGAAGAGGGTTTTGTGCTGCTCGACGCGATCTCGTCTTCAAACGAGGCGTGTTTGAGCGTGAGGGGACAATTTTCCCCGAGGCTGCCTGAACGCTGCATGATGATATGATGGGCCCCGTCCTGCGGTCTGCTAACGAACTTGGCTTCTAGCAAGAAAGGAGATGAAGAATATGCTGTAAAGTTGAGATCCGACAGCTTGGTTTGACACCTGCGGTTTGAAGCACGAGAGACATAGAGAGACCCTCTTTGGCATCTCCTGATATCAAAAAAGGGGGCGATCATGGCCCATTGATAAAGGCCCGCCGAGCGTCGACATGATCAACAACATCGTCGGCCTCGGGATAGAGAGGCCTCGTGGCGAAACCCATTCACCGCTCTCATGATTCAGATTCATCCACCTTTGACAACACATGCCGGATGCCCCCAACTTCCAGTCTGGATATTTGCCTCTATCGACGAATGTCAAAATTGTTAGTCGGTACTTGGAAGCTGGCCCCGGTCATGTCAAGGACGCATGTTCAAGACCCCATAGTCTCGGAAGCCTTGAAGATGGGACTTTGGAGGGATCTTGCGGAGAGACGATACACTACATGGCTGTGACTTGAACGGCAGGCAATACATATGCAATATGTAGTGACCCCTGAACGATCATACCCGACTCCGGCTGAGCGATATACCTCGCGCGATATTGAATCACACAGTCACTCGCGGATCGCAGACGAAGTCGCGGAAGAGGTCGCGGAACCAACCAGAGGCCAGAGTTTGAACCAGAAATCGTGGTGAAAAGCAAGGGATCCCTCAAGGAAACGTTCCCTGAAGCGGTTTCCGTTTAAGAGTCGTAGCATTCCCGCTGGACTGGGGATCAAGAAAACTGGTAACCGGAAGAAGACGAAGCTGCATCGTGAAAGTCTAACAGATGCCAATTCCTGGTTGATGCCCTTGAGTTCCACTCTCCACCGGTACGCGAACTCTGGATATTGAGCTATGGATACATTTAGTGACACACGAGTTTCGATCCAGACTCTTGTGATCCATAAGAGATCGGGAAGCGGTGGTGCTACGTTGATGTCGTAGTGAAAACAGTGAAAAGAGTGCAAGTTGATTGCATCTCGACCCATATTCCAGGTCTCACGAAACCTCACGTGTGAACGGTGTGTTGACCACGCAGCGAATGAGAGTTTAATGTTATATTAAAGAGGCAGGTACACTTTTATGTGGATACGTTCTGCCCTTACTTGGGCCCAGTCGTTCTCGCAAGGTGCTCGGATGTAAACTCTGAAGAAAAAAGGCTCGCGAACCTCGTCTGTGGGTTCCCGTTACCTTATCCGACCTGACTCCAGTTTGTCCTCACGCGTGTAACTCTAAAAGGCGTGAGAACCAAAAGCTTCTTCCTTGCTGGAACCAGTAATCAGTCACTGAACACGAAGAGGGTCTTGGTCTTGGTCTTGGTCTTGTCCTTCGTCCTTTGATGAACTTGGCTGCCCACTAGGGGCGGGATGGTGCTCGGCGTATGGCAGATAGTCTGATACAGACTGTCCTCCATTCCACTCCCCTCGCCGTGGAGCTGGGTCGATGTTGTTGTCGTCCCAACTCCCTTCTCGTGGGTTCCCGGGATTCCCATGTCTCTGGCCAGGAACGCTGTCTGGGCGTTGCTGGGCGAGTAAGAGTCAGGCGTGCCGCTTTCCGAGAAGGAGTGATCGACACGGACACCCAGGGAGGTCTGGCTGCAAGTAATTGTAAAGCCCTGATTTATTGGAAAATCTCCCGGAAGTCTCTCCAGAGTGTGTACGATGTCTGCAGGTGCAAACACTATGTATGAGACACTCTCGAAGCTGCTTGACTTCAAGATGTGATGCGAATGTTTGAATGTTTCGCTTGGTGATTAATGAGAAAATATTTTGATAAGTGAAGACACAAAGAAACAATATATAGTTACAAAGTAGAATGGTACGTCAAGAAGTGTACATATCTCATATCTCGAATAAATTTCATCCATCGGCCGTAACTCCCCGTTTCCTTCCCTAACCCCCGATCCTAGTCTGCGAACTCAAGCCTGCGCCCCTCGCTTCCAAGTCTCCTGCGACGCAATGTCCTGATGAACATAGATGACGGGCCTGCTACCTCTGGGGGCCTCGGCTCCTGGCGAGAACTGACACTTTGTCGTCAGCTCGGCGCGCTCGAGGTCCACAACGGAGGTATTGTCCCCAAGCTTGTCATACGTTCGACGGGGGTGGCGGATGCTGTGGCCGCCGCTGCTGCTCGTCAAGTCCTTGAGGTTGATCTGGCCGCCCTTGTCCGTTGACGGGTTCGTCAGCTTGGAGCCGAATTTGGAGACGGCCGGCTTGACATAGGTCTTAAAGAGAGGACCCAGGGTCGGCAGACATGCGATGATGATCCCGATCCAGAGCTCGAGGAGACTGACGAGGCCAATGTCGTGCAGGTTGTAGACAAAGTCGAGGTCACCGATGGTGGTGACCGTGTTGACTAGACGCCAAATCATGATTGCGATAGTTCTGGCATATAAAAGTTAGCTACTGCCTAGGGCTATGTAGAGAGAAGAGAAGGAGACAACTTACGCAAAACCCATGCCAAACATGGCGCTGACGGCGATCTTGTTCCTAAGGGGCATCTGAAGACCCCAGAGCGCCGGCATCGGCAGTGCGGTCATGGCGATGTCGACGACGATGTTGATGGTCACTGAGACGAGCTGGTCGACAGTGATATCGCGGCAGTGACCACCTTCGACCGGCGCCCACTGCTGAGACATGGGCGAGCATCTACTCATAAAGAGGATAAGGAACGCGATACCGTAGGCTCCCGTCACGCCCATGAGAATATGCGACCAGCGCTTGAACTTTGCCGTGGAAAAGATTCTAGTGTACAGCCACAAGATGGCCATCTTGATGAAGACGGTTCCCAGAAGCCATGTAACACCACTGGCGAGTATGAGCTGTAAGAGAGCAAGTGTTAGAGATGGTTCAAGTAGATGGAATGAGATGTCTAACTTGCCTTGAACTGAACAGCATACTCATCCAGAGTCAACTCATTGGTGTGTTTGCCCAAGCCATTGTAAATGGCCCAGATGACAACACCCTCTAGCGCAACAATGTTGGCCTGCCATGGTCAGTCCTGTATCAAAGAAGGTAGGAGTGATGGACTTACAAAGGCGAAGATGATCATCCCGTCATCCCAATAGAATGATCTCCTCATCACCCTCGCTGACCAAGCTCGCAGACATAAAAACGAAGCATCGACAACGGTGAAGACAACAATCCAAACTAAGAGACTAATGCCTCTGGAGCCGGCACCAGGCATAATGGGCGAAATGTGTTTCTGCTCTTCAAAGTGTGTAATGCGATTGGGCCCAGTCAGTTTGGTTTACTGCCTTAGCTTCAAATGCCAACAAACAATGAGAGAGAGTTTCCGGATACCAGCCCGATAGACATCCGCCCTCGCGGCACAGCACGCGCGGGGGATGCCTTCATCTCTTATGGGGGGTGCGGGAACGACGCTCATCGCATCGAGAAGCCGCCGGGTGCCATGTCGCCACCCTGCTTTGCCTCTCCTTCCTCTCACACACACTCTCTTTTACTCTCATCCCACAAAGACGAAACGTGGTTCCCGCGTCTATCAATCACGGCCAGGAATCCCCAAAAAAGAAGTGGACGAAAGGGTGAGCTAGACGATGAGACACAAGTCGATGTCACCCTACTCTGCGGTAGTTCCCAGCTTATTGGTGTGTCTGCCGGCCACTTTGATACTAGTTCGGGAATGAGAGTGAGAGATGGCCATGCAAGTATGACAGAATGTACTTTGCACTACTTTGCCGAACCATGTTTTCCTTCCTCTTCGTCTCCTCCTCCTGCACGTAACCCAGTAGGTAAGCCTGCCTGGCGAGGCTTCTGCTCATCTGATCGAAGGAAGACAAGATGGGATGACATGATTCAGTAGGAGTGTTCTGAACTTCCGCGCTTGCATGACACTGCATTCTTTCATCCCATTCCTCCCCACTCACACTCTAACACTTACCACTTTCTGGTCACTGTGCAGGCTTGCAAGCAGCGATAGTTGAATAGTAATAGACAATGGTTCGTGACAGTCGTCGTCTTTTAGGACCAACCACCCGCCTGGTGTTGCTGCACGTGTGGGTAATATCGATAGGGAACCATGCTCTTCCCACATGACTGTCCTCTTCTCAGATGTGATCGAGAACTCGTCATGTACGTGATAGAGAAACTCCACAGCCTCATTAACCCTCAAGGATTGCCAAGTTACAACTTACCAGTCCCAAAGTCTTGTCCGGTCTAACGAGGGTCCCCCCTCCCCATGGTATGATGGGACTCTGAGAAGACTTGGCCTCCCCGCTCTACCATTTTCATTGCAGGGGTTCAACCGTTCCCCAGTCTATTCAAGAGTCTCGAGGTGTGGGGGGAGTTTCAAAGTGGAGTTTCTGCAAGTTGATATATCAAACTTTCAGAGACCCTTGTCAACGGGCCATACATAGCAGACCGAGTCCCACAGAAACCACAAAAGCAACCATGTGAAAGACAAAGACTGTCTTCAGCAAAGCAGCACCTGCCACCTACCGCTGCGCCGCGCATTTGTTAACCCGTTTGGATGCAATGCTTCCCACCACGGGGGTTGTCTGGCAGTCTGCACCTTCTACTAGGGGGGAAAGAGTGCATATGTTGCCTTACCTTGACGGCCATGGTGATGTTGCAACGAGGCTTACGTTTATCCCGCTTCCGGTGATTATGCAAGGCACAGGTGTCAGTTTGTTGCTCAATCTCAGGTTTCACCAAAGTCCCCGAGTTGCCGGTGGGGAATGCTCGTTCTTACTGAGTAGCTTGTCTACCGGTCAGCTATCTGCATCCTTCATGAGAAGATGAGCAGGCAACATCGCCGTCCAACCAACCAACCGGTTAGTCAGAGCCATGGCGTCTTCAACGGTGCGAGCTGCGCCGCAACGCTGCATATCACGGAGTTTGTAAACAAAATCCCGAACGTTTGAGTCTTAGCTCAGCTCAATGAGGGAGAGAGGGGGGGATAAAAAGACAGGGCCTAGCTCGCGATAGCTCGAGACTGTTTCTGGCATTCCCGTTACCTACCCCACGCTTCACTCAATCTATCCATACATCCAGCATCGCTCTCTGGCTTCGCTGAAATCTTGTATCTCGCCACTTCCAAGGCTGACGCTACATACTCCCGTTCTCGGCTCGACCGTTTCTCCTTCTTCTCGGTATCCCAATCCAATATCGCTCAAAGGAGTCAAGATGCAACCCCCTCTGCCCTCCGTCACGCCGACATGGCGCAACGACACCTACGAGGCTATCTCGCCCTCCCGCCCGGAGCTCAGCGCGGCGGGGAAGACGATCATCGTGGCAGGCGCGGTAAGTTCTACGATATCCAATTTTCTCTCCCTTTCCCCTGGTTGTGAGTATCGACCCTCGCCCAGCCCCCCGTCCACGGCCCCTCTGTGATGACCTCTCGCCTCCGAATATGCCTGGCCATGATCCAAAAAGATCGGAGCTTTTGGCCCTCCCCCGTCACAACTCTATATCGCGCCAGTTCTGTGTCCGCAATATATCCGTACGGGTACCTTACTTACCTAGGAACCTCTCTGTTGACGCTGTGTCCTTCTCTTGATAGGGTAGTGGAATCGGCCGAGAGACCGCCCTGGCCTTTGCTGCTGCCGGGGCCGCTCGAGTCAGTCTCCTGGGCCGCACAGAGGCCGCCATAGCCGAGACGGCCGCCTCCTTGCCGTCGTCTGTGCAGAGTGATGTTCACGCCGTGGACATTACTGACGAACAGACGTTGATCAAGGTGGCAGCCGCGATCGGCAAGTGGGATATTCTTGTTTTGGCCTCTGGCTATGTGTCCAGCCCGTCGCCCGTCGCAGGGTCGGCTACCGATGACTGGTGGCAGAGTTTTGAGGTAAATCAGACTACCCTTAACGAAGATAGTTCTCTGTCTCTCTCTCTCCACACAAGTTGTTAGCGAGAAAGAGATAGAGAGACAGGGAGTGAAAGTGAATGAGAGGGCCCGAGCACTTACACCGACCTGACAGACAAACACCAAAGGAACATACCTCGTCAGCAAGGTGTTCCTCCCCACGGCGAACCCTTCGCATGCGTCCATCGTCGCACTTACTACCGGCACAACGGCGTTGCCGGCAGTCGCCTTGCCTGGTCTGTCCGCCTACATGGCGTCCAAGCTAGCTCAAACGAAAATCATCGAGTTCCTAGCGGCGGAAAACCCGAACATCTTCGCGGTAACCCTTCACCCGGGCATGGTCGAGACCGACATCTTCACCAAGAGTGGCGCCAAGGCCGAAGCTCTCCCCATGGATAAAGGTGCAGTTCCATTGTCTTTTTCATACTAGGCTACGACCCATCCCTCCCCTGTCCACCCATCTGCCCAGATTTCCCTCTCCGTCCCGACACTCCCCTCCACTCGCTTCCTCTCCATCCCCCTTCATAACAACCCTGCTTCTCCTTCCCGTTGCAGCTCTAGCGGGCCGAACAAGGTGCTGACATCCCGCGCGCTGGCTTGCAGTCCAACTCCCTGCCCACTTCACGGTGTGGCTAGCAAGTCCCGAGGCGGCGTTCCTCAATGGTCGTA